GATAAAGAAGATGTGGGTGATACACGTGCACACACACAGATGGAATCCAACTCAGCCACAAAAAAAGATGAAATACTGCCATTTGTGACAACATGGATGGATCCTGAGAGTATTATGCTAAGTGAAATAAGTCAGACTGAAAAGGATAAAGCTTATGATTTCACTCATATGTGGATTATGTAACAAAAAGTAACAAAAAGTAACAAAAAAACTAACAAAACAAAACAAACACATAAGTACAGACAACAGAATGTCCCAGAGGGCGAAGAGGGTGGGGGGAGGGCGAAGTGGGTAAAGGGGGTCAAATACATGGTAAATGGAAGGAAACTAGACTTCCAGCAGGGAGAATGCAACACGTACACAGATGTTGTATCGTAACTTTGTATACCTGAAAGTTATATATGTCATTAGCCAATATCACCCCAATAAATTTCATTTGAAAAACTTTTTTTTAAAAAACCTCAATTCCTCAGACACCATTGGAAATAATCAGTCCACCAACAACTTCTTACAAAAATTGTCAGTTATCAAGAAAGAATTTATCCTGCCTTTTCTATACAAATTGCATTTCAGGGTGACCAAGCAGTCTTATGGGGATGATGAAAAACATCTTTTACAAAAGAATTTCAATGTGTAAGGGAGGGCACAATTAGAAAATCACCATTTTGCAACTTCTAATAAAATAACTGATTGAGGCAATGATCATCAATGAATGAAACCATTAGGTTAAAAACTGATGGAGAACTTTACAAGGCAGGTTGGCTCTCACCACCTGCACCCACTGATCAATCTTAGCATCACTAAAAGAGGGATAGCTTCTTAATGTGATGCTATACAAAGCACAGAGCACCACCTGCAAAGTATTTATGCCAAAAAGTCAAACTTGAATCTAATGATGTACCTGAAGCTAACTTCATTTACCAGAAATATAGAGGATAAATTAAATGATACAGGAAACAAGTGTAGAATGGGGAGGGGCATTTGACACAATGACTGGCACAATTTCTGCAACAATTCATAAGGGGACGGGGGAAGACAGTGGAGAATTCTCTATACGAAAAAGAAACTCAAGAGACATAAAACGTGTGGACCTTGTTTGGATAATGATTCAAACAAACCAAGTGAAGAAAACTTTGAGACATATGGAGAAATTTGATGAATGACTGGGTATTAGATGACCAAGGAATTATTACTTGCGAGTTGGAATGATGTCCATGTTTATAAAGATAAGTAAAGATAAGTAAAGCATAGTAAAGTAAGGAGGAAATGATGTTAGGGATTTGTTTAAAGTATTTCGGCAATCAAAAAAAAAAGGAGGTGAAAGGGGAGGTGATAGATTTGTTTTATCTATGTGGCAAATTCTGATTTTTGTTGACGCTATTTGGTAGAATATGAGATCATATTACTCCATTATTTTACTGTTAGAATTTTTCATAATTAAAGAACAGTAAGTGTTCTTTGAGTTTGAGGTGATTAATGATCTGAACTATTTGAGTAAAGAAAACCAACTAGATTAGTGTGAGCTAAGAGGTAACAGAGGACAGCAGCAGGGGAATCCTACTCTCATCACTATTTCAAGTAGCTTATGAAAGGGAGAAGAGAATGGTAGGTGAAGTGAGATGTGAGATTAAAGTAGTTTTGTTTTGTTGTTACTGTATTTTAAGTAAAAACAAACTTCAGATTGTTTAAATGTGCATGAGAAGGATCCTTACACAAGTTGAAGACTTTTTTTCGGAGGGAGGGGGCTGCTGGAAAGAATAATCACTAGTGCAAGTGTCCTGAAGGTAGGTGGATGTGAGCTCCAGGGCACAGAGGTGAACAGATTCGGTAGTGGGAAGCTGAGGAATTACAATGAGGGACTGTTTTCTCTTAGAAGTAGAGGTCAACGCCATCTGCTAAAAGTGAGAACAGAGAAATTTGTGATTTGAAGAGAATAAAGATTTAAATAACTGTTATAGAAAGTGGGAGACTAAATTCAAGACAGAAACTTGTAGGAATACCAGGCAATGTTGAGGCCCCAACCGAGGTTGGTGATTAAGAATTTAGACGTACTGTTCAATCTTTTATATTGTGTGATTAATTCTCAAACAGTATTTGGATAGACAATTGGACTTACACAGGCTTGGGTTTTGTTTTTTTTCAGGCAGACACGATACAAGGACAAGGAAGTTTAGTATATTGGCAAGAGTAGCTGAAATGGTAGGACATGGAATCTAAGCTAATTGGAGAGGATAGAGAAGACAGGAAAGAGCAAAAAATACCAGTGGTCTAAATAACAGCAATATTGGAAGTAGCTGAAAAGGCAGGCTAAAAGAGCAACAGATGGTGAGATGTTTATATTAGTGATTTTGGAATGAGAGCAGTTTCAGATGTTGCCAAGGTCCGGGGTAAGAACTGTGGCTAAAGTGAAACAGAGAAGGTCTTTGGAATAAAAGGTAGATGGGATGGCTGTTTGAGTACATAGCCATGTGGATGCTAAAATAACCCAGATTCATAGCAGACGCTGGAAAGTGAAGCAAGACTAACAGCCAGTTGTCAAAGTTTTCAATGAATAAGAGATGCTGTCCAGGAAGTCAGCAGATAACTGAGATTAGATGTATCAGAGATGGTGTAGCCAGACGGCATGTGCTTCATACAAGCAGGGGTTTTAAAAATAAGGCAACAGCTCCATAATCTCTGCAGATGAAACTCAAACTCCTTCCAAAAGTAGGTCCCAAATTCAGTATGCTATGCCCTGCATTCAGGCCTTTGTCAATGTTATTTCCTCTACCTGGAATACCCTTTTCTGACTTTAATTCAACTGGCTGATTCCTTCAAGATTCAGCTCTTCCTCGCATTCCAAAGCACCCTGTATGGGTCTTTTTCAATGCTTTCATATATATATATATATATATATATATATTTTTTTTTTAATAATTGGATGTTTATTATTTAATCTAATTGGATGTTTGTTATTCTATCTCCTTGTAGACTATGAGCAGGGAGAGTGGTTTTCAATTTTATATATATACCCGATGCCTGACATACAACATACACTCAATAAATGGCTGCTATATAACTGAATACCCCCTTCATTCTGAAAATGAATAACACTCTATTCAAATTACCATTTTTCCTAACAAAAGTGCAACTGCAAGAACTTGGAGTTGAAGAGGTTTTATTTCAAGAAACAAAGAAAAAACTTCACTTTTCCTTTCTTCTCCTTAACTACTTGGATTTCCATCAAACTTTATATTTTTACAGGATAGTAGAAAAGATGAATGACTGGAACACTAAAAAGAATGATTCTGAGAATACTATTATTTTAGTCTTATTAGACAATTCTTGAAATTCGTGTTTAAGAAACTAATCTTCAATCCCTGAGTGGGATGAACTTGAATTTATGTTCCTATACCACTTCTTGGGAGGTATATGGAAGTCACAATCTTTCAGTTTCCTCTCTTCACCTATAAAATGGAGATAACAAGAGTACTATTTCATAGGGTTCTTATGAGAATTAAATACATTAATCCTGGAACATACTGCCACACCAGCTAGTAAGGAAGCTATCAAACCAATTGTACACTCTTATAGAAGAGGCTGAAGAGGCTCACACTTGCCAACGATGGAACAATTTAGGCATCAATAAGAATAATAACTGCAATGGATTAAAGAATATAAAATAGTTTAAATATCGGAGTTCCTGACATTAAAAAAAAATTGCCTGGTCAACTTTGGACAATGATAGGGAACCAATACTTTATTTTGAAAACTGGTAATAAAGAGAAAGAATCAACCAAATAGTAAATGAGGTAAAGTTTCTCTTTATAGAAGTATTCCAACAAATATATACAAAAGAAATCATAGGGTTGGAATAAAGCCATTTGCAACCCCTAATGAATTAATGGATCTAAGGTAATGATCACCAACAGCTACTGCTAACATCGCAAAAAACAGATATTATATGCCTCTTGATAGAGAATACAACACCACTACCTATAGTCTTGCAAACAAACAAAAACCTGAACTATCAACATAAATAAATCTCTAGATCCAACCCAACTTACAAGAAAGACACAGGACAAAGGAATATATTATATTATACCACAAGAATGCCATCAGTAAAGTCCTGACTGAAAAACTCTATAGGACAAATGAGCTGATTTCTTCAACAAACTGAAAAATAGAAAAGAAAGAGAGCTAAAGGGGAACTTACAGAGATTTAAGACAAATAGAGCAATACTGTTTACTTGCACACTTGAATGACAAAACTATAAAAGGAAGTGATTACCATAAAAGACAGGACCATATATAATTCCTCTGATGGGGAAGGGGTAGGGAAGGGAATGTGGAGGGCTGCAAAAGTGGCTGGCCAGGGTCCATCTCCTGACACAGGCTTACAAGGGTGTTCACCATATGGATAATTAAGTTGTACTTTTGTGCAGTTTTCTGTATTTGTGTTGTTTTTATTTAGCAACAACAAAAGATTTAGATAGAATGATACTAAACACACAGGCCTTGTAATCCTAATTAATCATGCCAATCAGTCCTCTCCCCAGTTGCTATCATCATATATAAACATGAGAAGTAGCTTTGGGATCCTGTGAAATATAACATTTATATTCTTCAAAAAAAGGTAGCCACTAAATTGTTTTGAACAGTGCATTTAATGTTAGCTATATTATTACGGTTTTATATTGGAAGTAAGATGAAAATCTCATACTTACTAGATGGCTGCTGCTGCTGCTGCTGTGTATTAAATCCTCCAAATCCCAGTCCAGTTCCCAAACCAGTACCTAAACCAGTACTAGTTCCAGTTGTTGTGCCAAAACCAGTACCAAATCCAAAACCTTTGTTCTGAGTACCACCAAAAAGTCCTTTGAATGAAAAATTGAAATTAATTTTTTTTTTAAAAATCTGACCTCTAGCTCATTTCCTTCTACAAATGACTAAAAATGTCCTCTTACCAGTAGTGCCTGTGTTAGCTGGAGCAGAAAAGCTGAATGCAGATCCTGCTGTTGTAGTTGCTGTCCCAAATCCTCCAAACCCACCTAATTAATTACAAGGGGATAAATAAAACAGAATCTTTTTTATACATAATAGGTAATTTCTTTTTCAAACTATTTTATAAGTAATTGCTACACATAAAGACAAAATATATTGGTCTAATTTTCCTTTCTCTACTTTCGACATCATTTTAAAAGACAAAAAAAAACCACTAATCAAGAAGTCAATATGTTATAAGAAATAAGCAACTAAGTATTTAAAGTAGAAATACCACAATGCAATATATACCCTTCACTAAAGGGGTGATTAACAGTTACAGCTAAGAAAACATGTTAAGTTTATTGCCATTATGTTTAATAAACTCTAAAATGATTATGTAGTTACAGTAGGGGTTGCAAATTCAAATGCCTACACGATTTAGGCTGGTAACATTAATGAGCCGAGTAGACTGCGTATTAACTGACTGGCGGAACTGTTCCATGTGAACTGTTTTTAAAAATGGCAGCAGTTCCTAAATTCCAGCAGATTATTGCTGCAGGAGAATGGTAGTTTAGCAGTGTTATATGTTCCCATTTTTCCCAAGAGAAACAGATCTAGATTTTTCTATGTGAAATTTACAGAATCTTAAACCCTAATTCAATTGTTTTGCAACTAATTCAAATGTTCTTAAAATAGTGCGCCCAACAAATCTTGCTGGCGAGTGTGTTGTCAGTTTGCAACCTTGGCTTTGGTTAATTAATTTATGTTTTACTTTAGCTTATATTTCTACTTAGTATCCACTGAGACTAAGCAACCTTTCAAAGAAAACATGCCAATATAATGACCTCTATACAACAAGAATGTGTTTCTTGAAGAAAGAGATGAGGGAAAAAACCACAAGTGAAAAAGTCTGTGGCATGTGGGGGTGCAGTTGATGGCTGTTGGTTGGGGGTGGGGATGAGGGATAGAGGGAGGGGGCTGGACAGCATAAATACGCAGCTGCAGTGTTGCCATGGGGACATGGGGGACAGCTAGAGGAACGTAATTGATAATGTGAATATTTTGTAGGGTGTCAGGTGGTCACATGTCTTGCATCATGGATGGGGAAGAGTCTTGATCACTGCACTGTACACCTGAAGCTGATGTATAATATTGTATGTCAACTATAATTGAATGTATGCATATATATATATATA